TGATACAGAGATTCAAGTTCTTAGCGGTTTGGACAGTGACTGGGCAGGGACTCTAAAAACAGATGTTACCATTTATTTCAACATTTAATAAATCCTAAAATCAAACATTCAGTATCGTCACATTAAGAAGACGTCTGAAAGATTGATTTAGGACATTTTAATATCATCCATAAGTGGGAAATGGACTTATATAGCGTATTTCTGTACTCAAAGTGCTTTTACAATGTGTTTCTCATTCACCCATTTACCCACACATTCATACGCCAATGTAAGGTAATGCAAGGTGCCCACCACTGGGAGCAACTTTGGGTTCAGTGTCTTGCCCAAGGACACTTCAACTGGAGGGGCAAGGGATGGAACTGCCAACCTTGGAGTTAGGGGACACTAGCTCTACCACCTGAGCTACAGCCGCCCATCCATCCATTATCTATACACCACTTAATCCTCAGGAGGTTTGCGGGGGGGGGCTGGAGTCTATCCCACCTGACTCAGGGTGAACATTTTGATACCAATCAGACTTTATTTTGGATACATATAATCATGCCTTTAAGAATGTTTTAGGTTTGGTATCCATCTAAGACTGTGACCGCTTTGAAAAAATGGTGCAACAACTTGATAATCATACTCTTTGGTCTTGTAGTCAGTCTTATGTCTGTATTTTTAGCTGCAACTACCAGAGAATTGTCAGTCAAAACCACAGGTGAAAGACATTGTTTTAGTCCAAAAAGGTCCCAGAGGTCTGCACCAGAGTGCAGAGCAAAACGCCGTCTTGTGTTTGTTAATACATAAAGACAAATTATTAATATCAAAGTCTCATGCGTTAAGTACCTTTGACAATGCAAGAGCTCTTACCTTAAAATAAAATTACAACACAAAACAACAAAGGTGATTTCAATTTGACGCAAGACCTATCGTTTTGAGAGTGCTTTTGGCTGCCGAAAACCAAAAAGCCCATGATGGAAAAAAGACGAGAGGGAAAAAAACAAAAAAACACCATTATTTATTTTCCTGAAATGTCAATCGCTTGTCTGTGTTATTTGGAGTAATGGCTGGTGGAACCAGCAGTCATGGATCAAACAGCCTCCCTGTTCAGAGGTTAATTGTTATCGGGAAGTAAAGCCTTGGGTGTTTAGAAAACTTACAGAGAAATTCAATACGCTGGTTTCCTTGGAGGAAATCGCTCCGTTCAATGAAAAGCCACAGCATGGTTTGGTGTGATTACATAGTCGGACTTCAGCGTGTGTGTCGAAGTGTGTGGGTTCATATTTATGTGGCAGCGGAAGACGTGATCATTCACAAACCATCAGAGGGCCTCTTCTTGTGGCACAGTACACACATTTTATGCTTCACAACCATGTTGATACGTTTTAATTTTGTTTATCTAACATAAAAGCCAGTTGGAGCTTTTTTAATGTCAGATTTTGCATCTTTTTGTGGTTTTACTTTGTCGTTCTTTCTGGCAGAGAAAACAGGCAATTTGAAGATGCTGGAAATTTTCGACTATTTTCTGGCATTTAATCAGTTTAATTAAAAAACATTCAACTGCATACTTAATAACAGCTAGCAGCAGCCCTACACAGTAACACTCGTATCAAATGGGATCTGAGCATCACACGAAAATCATCTATGTAACAATAAATATCGCCAAACTAAGACGATCTTTCCTCAAAATTAGTTCCAAAAGTTTGTTGGTTTTTGCATACTCGAGCCATCAGCCAACAGATGAGTCCGAGGCAAAATCCTCGGCTTAGAGACGTGATGATGGACAGAAATTCAGCAGCAGGTTGGTCCAGTGTGACAGCTCCATGCAGCCGCCCTCAAAGCCTGCAGGGCTTAAACTGGGTTATAAGCCGAAAGAAGATCTTGTGCAGTCGCAGTAGACAGGCTGTGCTGAGCGCGCAGCTTCTCCCCTCGCACAGTCTTGCTAAATTTGCTACCTGACTTTGTCCAGACAGTATCGATATTCCTCGGAGTAAACAAGTCTTTGGCCATTCATCATCAGCCTGGCAGCACCGGGGAGCAAAGTCACTGCTTTTGACTGAGGAAGATGACGTGACAGCAAACAGGAATAAGTAGGAGAAGACTCTGCATAGTAGACGGGGCTTTTTGGGATGATCTCTGGTAACTTTTTTGCCCGATTTGGGTAAAATTATCTTCAATATAGTTCTTCTCCAGATTGCTAAATTTGAAAATGGTACATGCTCTACCACAGAAAGCAACATGAAAAAGTTTGGACTAGATTTGGTGGAACTTTCCACATGTCTTGGAGACGGACTTCTAATGCAGAGCCAAAGGTGATATCATTCTCAGTCAATCACAATACAGAACTCTCCCGATCCTATTCGTTCACCCTCTCCACCCCTTTCCATCAGTGTCTCATTTAAGCCCACATGGAGCCAAAGCTCACTAGTTGTAGCTATGAAAGTTATTTCAATATAAATCATGGCTTTCTTTTGGTAAATATGCTGCCTTGTACTATGAGGAGGAATTTTTCATGCTGACTCGATGCACTATTAAATCTCAGGAATGGGGAAATATGACGAGCAGTGTCGCCAAAGAAATAGGGCTTCTCTTCCATGGGAGCCATTTCCTGTTGAGAATATTACTTCCACATGAGCCTGTGGATATATCTATATTTAGATTTCTGCTGCATGCAAAAAACCTTGGATCTCCAGGCAGTGCTTTATCCTAAATGACACAATGACAACCATATTCTCACATACTTAAATCTGCAAAATTCTCCAGGAGGCAAAAACAATGTGGAAGCATTTGGTTGGAAGGTTTGTTGATAAAAGATGATGTCAAATGGAAGAGACAGTTCTGACTGAAAACACAAAGCGAAATAGAAAGAAAAAAGTCTAACAAAGGCTGCCACGCATAATTTAGTGATTTATGGTGTCAAACACTTGAGTTATTGTTGCCAGATGTTTATTCTCCACTTCAAATGTGATTGCGTCTTTCATAAGATAATTTAGTAAGACAATTTCTTCTGAGCCAATGAAACACTGGAGCTGTTGATACTACTTTGACTCAGAAGCGGCACAACAAAAGGTGAAAGTAAATAAGTAAATAAAATAATAAGTAAATAATTGGTCCAGTTGATTCGCTGGAAGTCGAAGGTCGTCGGTTGGCAGCTTATTGTGCGTCAACCGAAAAAGTTCACTCGCAACAACAGCTGAGTCACGGTTTCACCGGCATCACATTGAATGGTTTCATTTCTGATGGACTCATTTGAAATCAAAAGGACTGTAATCATCACATAGACCTCTTTTTTTACAATTAACGTACGAGTTACAGAATTTTGTTTTATACTACTTGATAAATTCAAATAAGGCAATTTCTTCTTCCTCATCACATCCAGTTTGAAGTGTGGAGGAAATGATAATTAAAATTAAATGCGAGTCATTTATGCACTCTATGCCTGTCAGTGAATAACAGACTGTTTACTGAGAGAAACTTTCCCAGTGTGTCCCACATGCATATTTTATGCTTTTTTCAGGACACTAAACCATCACCACCGCTATCATCTCAGTTCCTGGAATGTCAGAACTGTATATTCTTTGCATGTAATGCTTCTGTTTGAAGAAAATGCAGTACAAGTAATGGCTGGCTCACAGTACAGGAGCTGGAAAACCCCAACAGATTTCAAATTTAGCTTGCATCTCACACACGAGGAGAAACTTCATAGATTTTCTTCCCTCTAATCTCAGACATGCTCACACTACAGGAGTGGAAAATACTGGTGCATCAAACACTATAGGATGTGATTATTGCCAGAAGGGGCAGTCAGGAAGCATAGCACCGCCTCAGGTGATCTCATTGGGAAGCAGAAGCAAACAGAATGGTGCAACAACTTGATAATCATACTCTGTGATGAAGAAAACAAAAGCAGAACCCCAGTCTGGATGAGAAAATGTTTGATAAGATCCTGCCAAAGCTACTAGTTTTAAGATCTATGACTAATGTTGGCCACAAAGGTTAGAATGATTAACACGGCTTGGAAACAGAATCCACTGCTCCGTGACAGACCAGCCAGACTTTACCTCAGAAATATCAAACAAGTTTAATTTTATTTGGGGTGACCCTGGTGAGTCTGGGATCTTGGGCCAGCGTCAGATTGGAACAAGAGCCCCGATCAGAGTTTTCTTCTGATTGTCTGGTAGAGTGAAGCAGGGGCAAATTGGCCCAGAACTCCTGTTGTCTGTCCCCAGCATAACAGAATTTTTATTGTTCTGCTGATTGGTTCTTCTGTATAACTGTTTGTCAACACAATGCAAGAAAATAGTGAAAAATGTCACACTTTCCCAGAACCAATGGTGACATTCTTAAATTGGCCATTTTGTCCAAAATCCAAATATGTGCACACAACCATAACGGAAGACAAGGAAAACCAATAAACATTTTACAGACTGGGACCTGTACATTTTTGTACTTTTGCTGAAAAAACATCTAGGTTAAATAGAAAATCTGTTATTAAAATAGCATTAATTCTCTAGACTTCATCTAACGGAGCAGGTGTTTCAGTCCTTATGTCATCACTACACTGAACATATAACATATATGGACTGTTTGAGGAGCGGCTTCTGCTTCACTACTCTTCCAACATATACAATGAAAGTGGTATGAATTTACTTAAACAGAAATGCGTCATAAAATGTCTCTATATTCATGTTAATTAAACTCCCAGTTTAAAAGAAATGACTACTTTGTAGTCATGCATCTGTGAGCGTTTGTTTTGCCAGCATCAGCTGTTGGCTGATTAACTTCAGCTCATGCAGAGTCTGTAAATGTTAACTGACCCATATTACACAAACTGTGAAAAAACTTTAACTGTCACAGCTGTGCTCCGTCCAAAAACTGAAGACACAATAATCTCAAAATGAAATGTCTTGTTTTGACACAGCCTTGCATGCGCTGCAGGTGTAGCCACTGAAAAGCACAACTGTCACATACATTCAATGTAGCCAAAGTATTACGGCTGGAAAAACAGAGACACTCACGTGGAATTTTATGCAGCTCATTCATGAACTTGTCCTTCAGCTTAGAAAAGGCTTCGTCCTTCTCGCCTGTGCCCGGTCCGGCCATGTTGGTGGTGTTGGAGCCGGTCGTGGAGGAGGAGGAGGTGGTGGGCATGGGCGGCGCTGCCAGCGCTTCCCTCCGACTCTCGTTCATCGTGGCGTTGTTGGGCAGCCAGGCAGATGCTGGACAAGTGGAGGAAGAGAAAGAGGAAACAGACTGGGTTAGATTTTTTCTCTTTTTTTCTGCTGCTGTGACAGATGCATGTCAGAGGCAGCGCGCTCGCCTTGTCAGTTGACTGAGTTGACGCAGACCGTGTGAGCAGCTGCTGGCTCAGCCTGAGTAAACATCAGCTGGGGTCCAGGATGAATTGGCCAGCATTCTGAATTCAGAACAAAGCTACTTACTCATTGCTTAAACTCCAGATTAACATCACAGAGCAAAGATAAAATGATTATTTATTACTCTCACACAACACAGGCCGTGGAGCTCAGCACAACAACTGGCTTAATTGAAATTCTGTGCAAGTCATCCATAAATACAGTACATACAGTGATGATGCAGGACAGAGAAGATAACAAGTCGACTCTTATCACACCGAGCTCCGTGCACACACCAGGTGTATTTACTCCACATAAAGGTCTTTTGTGATGAGGCAGAAGGAAACAATGTATCTCTGATGTTAACCTCTGTTTTGCGTGCATATGCATGTGTGCCCCGTGTGTTCAGATGCACTCATGCGCTTCTACGTGTGCACCGTTGTGTAATTATTGTGTATCACAGGAGCCTCATCCCTGAACATGTCTGTCATCACCTCAGTCACTGTGGAAGGTTGGTTCCACGTGAAGTTTCCACATTACCGTAATTATGGACAACTATAGAAGACACAATATGCCAGTGTGACACTACAATAGGAAAACATATCATCTCCACACACTGAGCAGGACCTTGTATTTATGTTGTATGAATACTGGAAAAAGTTGAGTGACATTAAACACAATGAAATTATAGAAATATAAAATAAATGTGATGCAATTTCTCAAGCAATTAAATATTTTGATGGCACAAGCTCCACTCTGATTTTTATTCACCACTACACTATAATAAATTACTGGAAAAATGCAGCCAAATTCTAAAAGTGGTGTACGGTTTTTACATTTATGATTAAAAACTCAAAAACCGGATACTTTTTTGGAGTCAAAAACAAGAAGGACAAGAAATAGCCAGTAACTGTAAAAACTGACACATCAACTGGACAAGAAATTTGCAATAAAATGACACAAATGAGACACAAAACAATACAAAAGAGGCACAAAACAACACACAAAAAAATAAGAATAACAGATACAAAATGCAAACAAGACACAAAATAATGCACGACACAAAACAACACAAATGACAAAAACAAGACACACAACAACATAAAGGAGGCACAAAAGGCCAAAAATGAGACACAACACAACATAAACATGGCATGAAACAAGAAAAACAGACAAAAAAAAACAAAAATTAGACAAAAAAAAAACCCAACACAAAACAAGAAAAACCCGACACAACATGACAAAAAACACTTCTAATATTGATTATAGTGCAACATGATATTAAAACTGTATATTGTTGGAAAGCTACAGTAATAAACTGTAAACCTTATGTTCTTTAGCAGAGAGCTGCAATCAATTATACAGTAATTAACAGCTTAAGTGAATTAAATTGTAACACAGAAAAAGTTGTTGCAGTGCACAAAATGGACGGTTAGTTAGCAGAGATCTCTTTCCAGTGCTATGTACGACTCAGTATCATGACATCCAACAGTCTGGCAAAGCTGCAGCACAACTCTGCCTCAGAAAGAGACTATTTATTGTCTACTCTTGCTGTGCAGGTTGTAATTTGGCTCTGTCACCATAGCAATCCAGGAGGATAATGGTGCACTAAAGTAAACTAGTGCACAGTGAAGATTGATTGCCTAATTTTCCTTCTTTGCCACAGTCAGCGCTCATGAAACTTTTCCCCCCATTCATACTATTGTTTCCTATACAGGCGCTGCGCTGGTTCTGACAGGAACACTGTTAAAGGCTTCCATGTAATTGAAAAATCTAAATGTAACCCCCAGAATGGCCTTCGATGATATTCATTTCTAAACCTCAAAGAGCTGGGGGCCGAATGCAGCGGCAATTCATCCTAATACAATCTTTAAAAACATGAAGGAAAGAAAGCGTCAGACAGCTGAATTCCAATTTATGTTCCTTCAAATGTATAAAATGAGGTTTGCAGCGAGGCAATTTGGGCTGAATTGCGTTAGAGATACAAAGTGTGTTTTCAATATTGTGCTGAAATAATAACTGCATTTCACTACTTTAGGCTTTATGTAGACACTTTATTTGGGTGTCCTTAGAAAGAAATGAATGTGTTTTCTTCGCTTGAGTTTATTTACACCGAGGTGATGCTCTGCTTAAAATCTAGGGACACTCGTGATCGACTGTTGGAAGCTGTGCAGGCTCATGTGAGTACTTGTGAAGCAGCACATTTGCTTTTTAGTCAGCCCTGACTGTGGCTGGAGGGGGAGCGGCGATCACGTCTCATTTTCCATGTTCTCTGAGATTTCCCAAGCGATCGGGTCACAACAGTGTTTCTCTAAAATCTAGGTTAGCACTGCTACTACTGAGACCTGCGGCAGTAAAGACGAGTGCTTCTTCAAATAAAGTACAGCTATCTAAACAAAATCTACAAGCCATGAAATACATCAGATAACAGTTTTGTGAAACTTGAGAGGACACTGCTTGCAGTTATGATACAATCAGATGCCTGGGAGTTGGAACAAATGGAGAAGAAGTCAACGATAAAGGACACTGCTTCAAGCTAGTAGTTCACTTTACCTCACAGTTTGCAGACTACACATCACTCAAATCCAGTCCAATAGCAGTAAAAATGTTTTCCATACGGTAACATTCCCAACCTGCAGTCATCCTGAACCACGCCAGTCTGTGATGTCTGGTACGGTATAACATTTTCTCAGTAAGTGCCCACTGTGAACCCAACAATTACTGTTTGTGTTGACCTACTTGTGTTGTCAGAACAAGAATTCTATATCATTAACTCCAACCAGGATAGCATTTGTTGCCCATCAGCTATCACAAGCTTTTTATGCTTTGTTTTCTGAAACCATGACGCCAAAATTAAGGTTCATCATAACAAAACTGCGAATTTAGAGACAGATGTGATTTAATAGACTTTTTGGTCTTCCTAAAGCATTTAACCTTCAGGACTTAATACATTTAACCTTCCTCAGGTCTCAAGTGGAATAAAACTACCGTATGTTTAAGTGCTTTGATGCAACCTTCACGTTACACTGAATCCATCCATTCATTCATTTATTTCTCTCTGTCCAGGGTTGAGTGGAAGATTATAACTTGGAAAGTGGCATTTACAGACAGGAAATGTAGATATTTTGTGAATGTGCATGGGCAAGTGTAGGATTATAATATTAATTTTTAATCACATAGATACTGTTTGGGTCTTTTAAAAAAATGCACTGCCATGTTTGTTATCAGAAGTCCGTTAAAGAACAGACAGTTGGCAGATGCAACTATAACTTAGAACAAACATATTGTTTTAACACCAAATAATGAACAAAAAACAATTAGTTGTTCAACAATGCAATTACAGTAGGAGGACAAATACAAGAGAATAAAATGCTACACATGGATAATTACCAAGAGTATAACAAAGACAAGAAAGATCAATGTTTCCACAATGAAATCAAGACGTATGTCCTTTGTAAAGAGATCAGAATATCAACAGTGGCATGTAAAGATGTTACATGATGTGCAACTGAAATTGCTTTGTGTTGCGAATTTGAATATAGATGAAATTCACAAGAAAACAGAACATCCAAGGAGGTACGATCGTTCAAATTCAAATAGGAACTACAACTGGAGAGGAAACAGTAAGCGGGAAAACATAAACGGATCTACTGTTGGTTTTAGCATCAAGAGCCCTTCCACAGCACTGAAGCACACACACACACACACACACACACACACACACACCGCTACTCCATACCTACAGCTAAACTGACTGTACAGTGACTCAGCACAAACACTCCCCTTACTCGAGTTTCTTTGTGTGAACGCTCCTGTAATTGTAAAATGGGCTGATTTACTGCAGGTTTATTATCTTCCACAAATAAGAAAACCAGGGTTTGTAAATGGAAATCACACAAACAGATAAGCAGCTCTTTAATTGGACCTGTGGATCCACCAGGTTCGAGCAGCAGAGGCAAAACAAATGTGATTATCTGCACAGGACCTGAACAGAGCACCTATTCATCTTATTTCCAGTTATCATAGGAGTGATGCGTCTTTCCACAACATATAATCCCAGATTTCTTGTAAACACTGCATCCTGTTGCAGCAACTTATTTGCTGAACAATTCTGGAGGTAATGGATAGCAGATAAATTATTGCGAGATTAGAATTGGACCAGAGAGCCAATTTAGGCAGCTGAATAATAATTTCTTTGTACATGTACATCCAGAATTAGCTGTAAATCTAGTGGATCGTACAGTCAACCACGGTTCATGTGAAGTGTGGATTATTTTAACCATTAGTTTAACCATCATGTTGTGGAAAACAGTTTTACTGCTGCTACAGCTTTTTAAAGGTTCCATATTGTGCCTTTTTTATGCAAATTAATCAAAGTCTAACATGTCTCCACAGTGTAGCTTTTGGTTTTTTAGCTGAAAATACTGCAAAAATTGCGTATTTCACCATGACTGTATAAGCCCTGGTCCTGTTCTAAATCTGTTTTGCTCTGAAAACCAATGAGTTGCTCCTGTTCCCGCCTGCTTCAGGAAGAAAACTCTGTCTGCGTCTGTTTAAGCTGGACAGCGATTGATAGTGAGGAGTTCCATAGCGCCTGGGTTGAATTCTTACTGGCTTGTAAAGCTGGGACGCTAACAAGTTGTGGAGGGCCTTAAGCTATGACATAAGTAAAGGTCTTCATGTCGTAACAGCTTTTAATTTACAATTCCAACTTCAAAACAACCACAAAACACAATACAAATGGTTTTTTTTGTACCATATTGAACTTTTAAAGTAACTAGAAGGACACCCAGAGCGCACATCCTCTGACATGGCCAATGCCCTATCTCACAACTTCAGAGAAAGTGATTTCGATCTGTACCAAA